AATTAGAACGGGCAGAAATTTTTCAGGTACAGTTTCGAATTACGAATGCAAATTAGGGAGAAATAGGATATTAGAATTTTGAAAGAGTATTTAAAAATTTTTTTTAATGAATTCAGACGTAAATAATAAGAAAAAGAATATCGAAAATTTGCAGACGTACTTATTATTTAAAAATATTATTCATGATTAAAATTGAATAAATAATTGATATTTTGCAGGAGTAATTTTACTACGAACTCTGTGTGCTGAGAAAAAACGGAATCAAATTTTGCAGGCATATCTTTACTTCGAAATGTAAAGGATGATTCAATGAGAATAGAAATTTCGCAGATGTATTTATTTATACAAACTCCCGAATTTTGACTGTGGATTAAAAAAAAATACGTAAGTAAAATTTTGCAGGAATGTCTTTACTTTTTGATGAATTTAGCCATAGATAAAATGTAACAGAAAGGAGAAATGTTGCAAGAATGCTACGTATTATTTTCGTTTGTGTGTTATGACAGAATCTCGAGGGCTATCTGCCTAAGGGGAGGGTTGCCTTCGTGGAGGTTTTTCTAAGGAAACTGGCTCGTGTACACGTTACACATGGGGAAAACCAGAAAACGACAATGCAGCTAGTCCGCTTGCGGGATTTCAATTTCAAACCAAACTACCAGTGTTCAGCGACTTTACTATTCGGCTGCTGGTGGGCGCACTGTTACGTATTATTTTCAAATTAAAATTTTGTAGGCATTCTTACATATTATTTACATATTTATACTCATGATCAAGAGCGTAATCGTAGTTTTGTGCGGGTGCTATTTTTTTTACGAGTTCTTAGTAATGATTATAGAAAGCAGAAAGTTTGAATGTGTGTTTATACTCTTTTTTTAATTAGGATGCAGATTAGGAAAAAAATAAGAAATAAATATTTTCCAGGTGCATTTATAATTTTTCATAAATTTACTGACGAATAGAAGTGATCATAACTTCTGCAAGCATATTTATGTATTTTTTATCACTAAGGAATAAAGATACACGATTCATGGTTAAAAGAGAATAAAGAGTTGAAATTTTGCTGATGTATTTTATTACAAATTCTGAGTGAGGATTCGAAGGAAAGAGAAATTTTGTACATGTATTTACACAGCTTTTCCCACCACTTTTCCCTACTCCCTTGATTTGAAGTATAGATAAGGAAAAAGTAAGGAAGTAAATTTTGCAGGTGTATATTTGTATTCATTTTATGAATTTCATCATGAAGAGAAGAGAGTAGGAAACGAAATTTCGCAGACGTATTTTGACTTTTATTTAATGAATTTAAAGTCACACAGTTTGCCGAATAACACCAGAGACGACGTCTAAATTAAACCTAAATTATGGTTAATCTGAGGATTATTAAGAAAACACAAGGAAGACGAACAACCCACATTATAATTGACAGCAAAATAATCTTACTATTTACATGAATTTTCAAGCAACTTAGTCGGGAAAATGAGTTTATTTGGTTATATAAATTCAATCAGTATTCCTTTCCGGATAAACAGACTTTGGCTGTAATTCGGAAGGACTAAAGAATCGTAATAGTGTGTTTTGCTATGCTTTGCGTATTGCACTGTTTTGCTATGCTTTAGCTGCCTAAAATCTATCGAATTGGGAAGATGAAAAATGAAAATTCTTGTTTAATATTAGTCTATAATAAAGGGTATTAGTATCTTTAGTTCTAAGATAAAAGAGCCTGAGATAATCGCACTTCAGTGAGATCCTGAAAGCCAATATTTCTTAAATCTTCTCTGAAGTAGTGAATTTAAGCACTTTTCTTGGAAAAAATTCTAATTTTAAAGAATTGAACCACAGATTTTAAAGGCAATGCAATTAACATTTTATTAACATATTTAATAGCTTTTATTTGATAAGGATATAATTTTAAGTTTATGAATGAGTTTCGAGCTAGAACAAAGAATTTATTCTTATTTTCAAAAATGAAACTTTATCGGCACGTGCAGTTTTGCGAAACATTTAGCAGGTATTAAATTTTTAAATAACAAGTGTTATAATTTTTATTATTGTTTTACTCTTACTTAATTATATTATAGTATATTTCCCAATTTTGGGAAAGAAGCTATACACATTACAAATATATGAAGTGTCCAGTTTTGCAAAGTATATAAAGTAGAAACTTCATTTTCATTTACTACAAGGAATACAAAATATTTAGGCAATGAAAAGAAACCAGTAGGCAGCATGATACAATTTCTAAATCACTAGACAGGTGATGAAGTAATCACTAGATAGTATGGTAATGAAGTCTTTTCAGAAAATAATGCGAGTAATGTTAGGATCAAGTTACACAAAGAGCAAATATTTTCTTTGGACGTATGCTTTTCATACGATAATGAAACAGCTTTAGTTGAACAATGTATATTCTTCAACAGAAACTTTGTAGCAGTATTTATATTATTCTTGTTTGACGATCTTCAGTTACAAAGCTTCAGTTAATATCACGCATATTTAAATGGTCTTAGGAAATGATTTTCCTTTATATACTGTGAAAGTGGTGCTGTACTCACTCGAACAATGCAAAAGTGCAGAGGTTCGTAGATATGTGCCAACCAGATGCACCTGACATACTTTATCATTATCTAAAACGACATTTGCATTGGGAGTGATATGCATTCGTTGGATTGAATAACAGAATACATTATGGTATAACCACTATTCAAGCAAACTGAGTCAAATTTGATTTGTAACTTGTAGATGCCCGCAGATAAATCATGGTGGAACCGCCTTGCTGTTGAAGTCAAGGAAAGTCGCATCGATGCTGTGGCGTTTTTTAAAGTCTTGCATTTTTTGTAAACGAATAAAATTGGGAATCACACAAAACTTCTTTCAGTCAATAGCAAACTGTAACATTTTAAGTAAGCAATATATTGAAATATTGTATATTAACAATCGAAGCTGTAGTCCGATTTTGCTTGCCATTGGTACTGTTCTCCGCTATGGACATTTTAAAATTTAGGTTATATTTATCAGTTTATTTCACATGCTTTCTCTAGTTCCCACTGTTGGTAGCTCTTTAAAGTGAAGATTGAATATCTAAAAATAACATATTGCAAATAGTTCCAGTTGTTAAGCAAAACTGATTAACTCTTGTTGAACTATTCCTGGGGACGTAATTTATGTCCGTTTGTCATTTCTTGCAATCTTTAAATTTTTTCCAGTCTGCAGCTCACCGATGGAAGTACCTTAACCACCGCCGTATAAATATTGAATACAGTAAACCTTACCGTTATCGAAGCGTTAAAATCATACCACACAAATCTGGTATGTCACGAGTTTACGCTACTCGTCTTAAAAACTTTCCAGAGATGTAATATATGAATTCTTATTTGAGATCACCACTGACAAATGAATATTTGCAATGATATTTGATGACAGGGAACAAAGTCTGTGAATCAGTATGGTGGAAGAAAAGAATTTCCTTCAAAAATTTAGAAAAATCTAATTTACAAATAACTGTGCTTGTTATAATGGTGTTTTGCATTTTTTTCAATAAAGTTTATATGGACACATTTTGTTTCTTAACTGAAAATGAACTGGAAGTTAAAACTGAGCTTATTGTATAGCAAAAATTTACAATATAATTTTTTTTTGCATATGACATTTGACAAATGTAAGTGAATGGGACACCGAAATTTTTCCTAAATACATTTTTATACAACAAAACCGAAAGATTTGTGAAATATCTGGCCTTTGCAGAGGAAGTTGGTTAAGCCATGATCTAAGATTGGAAAATGCTCAAAGGCCTTTTTTGAAGAGGGGCGGCTACTGTATTTTGTTTCAATTTTTCTCACCAGAGTTCACAAACCAATAAATTATTAACCTTTAAGTTATTTGCATTTCACCATTGCAGCAAGACAAGCATCAAGTGTATAAATCCATTCCATTGTAAAATGTAGCTAAGTCATTTAATATTTTGTAATCCCGTCATCACATATTTAGTAGATAATTACACACGTTTTCACATGTTTAATAATAAAAAGCATTTTGGAATGTGTGTATCGAAAAACTCAAGAGATGAAATAATTTCTTTTTAGTTTCTTACTTTGCTGTTTTATTAGTGTGTATTGTTTATTTTCTACGGAATAGTGATGTATATCTTTTAATCGATTATTATTAAACTTCAATACGTGTTGAAAACATAATTTTGTTTAACATATAACTGTCATTTCTTTATTGTAAATACTTGTAAATTAAGGAAATTTATTTATTTATTCATTTCATAATTTCTCTTGAAAACCACTAAAATATATTTAGGTACTCAAAATAGTCGATACGATAACATTCACTAAATAAGAGAAGCGGAATTTTTATAATGTTTAAAATAAAAATTGCTTCAATGAAGGATGTTGTCAGTAGATCTGGAAAGCTAGTTGCATTCTTATAGGCATAGGTCATAAATGCATAAATTTACCATATTTCTTCTTCAACTGATCATTGTGTAATATGTAGTTACCACGATTCAATACCATGAAAGGTATATAGATTAAACAATTCTGAAACTTTTATGAAAGATAAAATCTTAATATAAAAGTTAAAACTAAAATTTAATTTTACTTTTCAGTTGCTATATTTAAAAAACAATGTGCAGCAATATCCGTTGAATTATGATTAACACAATTGTACGATGCTATAGAGACATTTTAGAATCATTACGTTTGTTTCGGAGCAGGAAACAAAAAATGAGCAATGCCTTCGCCAGGACTTAACTCCAGACCTCACGATTACCAGCCAGATGTGCTTTCAGTTTTATCACGAAGGCACATGGTAAGGAGAAAGGAAACTCCTTACAATATCATTTTCAAGTTTTAGTATATTTCTATATTAATCTTTATTTCATAAGCCTAGAAGCAGTTTATTTGTTCGAAGGAATATAAGGAAATCTTGTTGGCAAATTCATTAATATGGGCTTTATGAGGTGACAACATAAAAGAAAAGAAATCTATAAGAAATATAATCAAAAATACATTTTTATTCATGTCAAAATCCCAACCAAAAAGCATTCAAAATACAAACATTTACAATTAAGTAGTATATACAACCAATACGTATATTTAAAAAATAATTGGCATTTCTTGGTAACGAAAAGAGTACCATTAAATAAGAGACAAACACTATACATAAATCATATATACAATCTATATACACTCGCACACGACCAGCATGTCAAATGTACAGATTTCAATTAAGGCACTTCATTGAAAATTTTTAGAAATCTTGTTACGGAGAATCAATATTATACATGTTTTCCTACTTCAAAAGACAAAATATTTGTTTCTTGAGAATAATCGGACTTAGGGATCTTTACTCGTCACCGAGAGGTTGGCCAGAGTGGAAGCAAGTAGGCTGATATTACACTAATAAGTGGGGGTAAAGGCACACGCAAACAGCTAAGGCTTACACGAGAAGTAGGAGCAATTACCCTCTATTTACCTCTGTAATCCAGGGAGATCATTTTACACTTAAATGCTCCATTTTTAATTTCAGAAACATGAGCTGGGAATAGTAGCATTTCTAATACCTTCTACTGAGTGAATTTTTATTTAAAGATAAAATTGTTTTTAATGAAACGTCAGTCATTTGTTCTTTAAACTTTCATTCAATCTAGATGAATAGCAGCCACAAGGTACTACATTTATAAAATATTCTTGAATCAATATTTACAAAAATTTTTCATTGGATATTTACGTTGATGAATTCCTTTTAAATCCAAAATCCTTTTTAAGTAGAAACGAGGAAAACGAAAGAAGCTCACAAAGATGCTTTCATTGAGGAAGATCAGCATATGCCAACAGCGATCATAACAACAGCGACTACTGCACAACAGGAATCAGCAATATTTTTAGAAAACTACGACAGCAACGAGCTCTTGTCCTTAGATATCTGCTAACAAGTTTATAGCTTGAGTCTTGTTTCTTCATTTCTCCAACTGTAAAGAAAAACAGAAAGAATATTTGTAATTGAATGTAAAATAAGTATTAAATAAAATAACAGTAATACTAAAATAGTGGCATGTTTGCTTTATTTTATAATACAGCTGCTATACTAATTATATTTATACATCATTTCCGAATTTTGCATTAAGACAGCATTATTCATATAATTATAGCGGCTAAGACTAAGCGTAATAGTTACAAAAAGAACAAAAAATTTAGCCGTGTGTGCAGAAATTTACGAAATTAGTTTGTAGGGTTTATATTTATTTTAACTAACATTTATTTTTATTTTAAGCTATCTTTCCTGTCAAGTCTTTACTTTCCCCTAGAATTGCCAACGCCAGAGTATGTAAATCGTAGTAGAACGCGCAGAGTATTCAAATTTCAAATTTTAGCAGAAGTAATTTGAGTTTAATAGAAGGGAAGCGAGATTGTAAGTGTGCTTCTTGAATCACGAGCGTGAAGGTTGCTTGGTAGAAAGTTTAAGAACCGCGCGTTTCGGCCTGTGTGCCTATTTCGACAGTTCGTTGAATCTTTCAAATTCTTAATCAGAAAGTTTGCTGAATCTCAGCTGTATCTTAGAACGCGGTTAAGTTAGTTACGATTATAGAGCCTCGTAGGTAGTGACTTTTTTTTAGTTGCATTTTTGTCTATTTTGTTCAACCGCCGGGTCGGCGTAGTTTGTGAGTGTCAAGTGAACGCAACTGTGATTTCTAAAGTGAAATAAAAAGGGAGTTAAACCCTTCTTAAGAGTTTTGTGTAATTTCCAGTTCATAGCAGTCACTACTACTGTTGCTGACAAGTTGGAGCTTCCCAACATCATAAGTTAAAAATTTTGTAGCTTTTAAAATCAGAAATTCGGTCACTCAGCTTCGAAAATAATAATTAAAATTCACTTGCGCTAATAATTTCTGATAATACTGGAATACTGTTTGTAGAGTTTTCTTCTTAATTAGTTTAATTTCTTGAACCTTTCTGAGATTGTCAGACGAGTTGTATGCAATGTAGAGTTTGTTTAACATTTTAACTACAGATTCAAAAGAAGATTTAAATAACTTTTTTAATTTTAAATTTAACAGATGCATGGCTTGTGCTTGCATCCTCAATCTCCACAAACTGCGAGGTTTTAGATCATCAGATTAAGACTTAGCCAAGTAAAATTTAAGCTGGATATTCAGAGTGCTAAAGCCTAACATGCGTTAACTGAATTATAGCTAAATTTGCGAGTGATTCGTTTTGCAAAAAGGATAAAACCGGATAATGTAAATCTCACAGCCGGGAGAAGAAATAAAACTACGTCAGTGTCACCGCCAAAGCTCGCTGTCTAACTTTCAAGACTCCTATTTTTATACATATCTACCTGATTTACATACCGTTGAGAGCTAATGAAAAGTGAAGTGATACTACAGTTCATCTAAAAGATATTGGTTTAATTAACATAAACTTATTTCGCAAGGGTAATGTCGGGGGCAGGGGAAAAGACGATTAATTGAAAATCACTATTAAGTCGAAGCCAGTAAAAAATATAGGAAAGACAAATATCCTACGATATAAATTAAGACAGAAAAAATGCTGTTAACAGTTTACTTGTATCATCAAGCAGTTTGATTAGGAAAGTAATTTTTTTAGCTATGTAAATTAAATCAGTTTTAAAAATATAAAGACCACACTATAGCTATGAAAGAACAAACATCATTGGAAATGAAGAAATTAAGTAACAAATGACATTAAAGAACAATATTAGCAAATAATAAACTTGAATGCAATAATTTACGATAGTAATTTTACTGTGGTTCCAAAGTAAATTTAACTCTTGTTCAGACAGGGCCAGCTTAGTCTGCCCCCAGTTAATCGGGAGTTGACTGTATTTATGTGCTGCTTGTACTAGTAATTCCTGAACAACTCTCACGTATTTCAAACTACCATTGTTCAGGGTCTTACCCACTTGGGCATTAGAGGGGTCCAAATGAAACTAGGACCTGCTTTCGTCAAGAATGTGCCATGGGGCTTCACTTTCAAGAGGCTTTCGAATCTTGCTATTTAGTTAAAACATTTAAAGTTTCATGCATTTTTTTCCAAATTTAAATTTTTTAATTAAAATATTTTTCTACAAAATTTAAATAAATTTTTTCCAAATTTAAAATAAAAAATTTTATTTATTCAAATGTGGAAGAGATTATTTTCTTCCAAATCTGAAAACTAATTTAAGATTCTTAATTCTGCATTTTATTTATGTACTAGATTATGAGATTGATAAATAATTCAATTGCCTTAATTTGGGAATTGTTCTATACTTGAATCAAGATTTATAGTAAAATAAACAAGAATATTTAAGTATTATTTTATTTCAGTTTCTTCTAAAAAAAAAGTGAGATTCTGATATAAAATATAACACATTCCAAACTGAAATTGCAATATAAAAAGGTAAAATATAATGTTTTGTTGAAATATCTGAAGGAAAAATATGAAATTATAACATTATTTCGAAAAATATTTTACAGGAAATATTATTTGCATCAATGGCATCTTGACGATCAGTGACAGGTTTTTCTCCCGGAACTGTGGTTTTTTAAATCCGACCCTAAATGAAACATTAAAACAAAAACAAAACAAAAAAGGGGGGGGGACTTTCGAATTCATGTAATCTTTTTTGAGTGTTTGGTTAAACAGGGTTTTATTACAGTTTCGTTTAAATACTTGACAGATTGTTAATGAACTGAATGGACATCATATATTTTGCAAAACTATTAAATTCCTATATTTTGTTTGGTATCACTTAGAATCACTTCTAGACTATCGAATACTTACACAATTGAAAGTTTCCTATGTAATCGGAAGCATTTAAATATTTTGGACCCATTCCAGAAATTATGCGAAATCCAGCAAAGGATGGCTGAAGCTATAACATATCTTTATAGATCAAATTTTCAAATTTGTGTTTAAATTTCGCTGCCTTAGGTATGCTTAGTATTCTGAAGAGTTAATCAGAACTCAAAATCAGTTAAGAGCTTCTCTTCATACCATGCGTTTCGACAGCCAACTAAGAATGGTGATTTAGTTTGTTTAGAGAATAACGACTAAAATAAGTTTCAGTATAGCTTTGCTTATGATAATACGTAATTTGCATTTGAAGAAGTTTTAGTTACAACATAGCCTAATACAAAACCATAAATTGTTCCTTAGCCTGAACATGCGCCTCAAGACCATGAAAAAATAAAAGCAAGAAGTTAATCTCCTGTTAATCATGTGTCTTAGTCAAGCGTGGTGACAATATGACATTGCCCAGTTTTAATTTAATTATAATCCAAAGTAAGTAAGGGATGGAATGCGAACATATCACGCTTTTTTTCCATCAGCTTCACGAAAAATCTTTTAGACAGTTGGATATTAAATTTTCCTATTCCGTAGACTCATTGTAATTATCAAAAACCATTAACTTGCTAACCATTATGACAACTTTTCCTAACCATTATGACAACTGGACGGCATGCCACTCCATCGGTTTTTGCTAACAAATAATAGAGAGGAATAGCTTATTGAACGGAGCCTCTTTCTTCCTTTAATAGCCAAACAATAACTGAAACAAAACAATAATGTGAACACGTTTTTGGAGATCAGGGTCTTGTCAATTGGAGCCTGATGTTAAATGGTGTCATGGAAATACCAAGTTAATACTTTACATGCATAGACTCGAACACCCACATGCTTTGCACGCCTGTGTGGAAAGTAAGCAAATAAGCTATGTAGTTACATGTACATCCTGAAGAAGAAAAGAAAAGCAAAGCGAGAGAGAGTCTCTTTTCACAAAGTGGCTAATTAAACCCAAGAACTGCAGCGTAACCAAACGTAACCGAGAACCCAGTTGATGCTCTATTGTCCGAACAGTTGGGGACTCCTTTGCAAAAAATACTCCAGCGGATCAGAACTCGTTTGGTAACGCTAGCTGAAAACACAGCCTTACCTCCTCCTCTCCAAGCGCTTCGAATTCATTTTCAAGGGAATGCGAAGCTTTTGTGATGGTAAAAAAGGAATCTTATTGTGTTGTTTCCAACATCCTTTCATGAGCGGAAATGACGTCTATTTATCGCATTTTAAACGCTTTCACTCGTTCAATGTCTGCATGTCATCCCTTCCGCGGCTTCTTAGATGCGGATGTTCCAACAGGATAAACATGCTTTACATATCGAAATCGATACCTTGTCACAGAAACACATTACTTTCTTATTCTAATATTCTGTATTTGTACTTAAGCACCTTCCGTTGCTCTCGAAAGATATTAGAGATCTCTCGAGCCAGTCCGGTGCAGGTTTGAAGGAGCTGTTTCTCTTGATTCAATTTTATTCTTATTTTAACAATGACTAAGGTTTTTCTCTCCATTTACCCCTACTAAAATATTTTCCTCGGCATTCTTAAAAAAAAAAAAGAAATGTCTGAAAGCTTTCAAATTTTATATTACTCCCAAAGAGGCGTTTTTCCATTTACATACGCATACACTTTTCGAGAGCATTTGATCTGTTCCTTTGGGCTAAAAATATTTAAAAACGGCCTATCTTTATGATTTCCGATACATAGTCTCGCGCGCTGAAGATAATCCCTCCCATACTGTGTTGCCATTGCTTACTTTGAAATAATTGAGTTTGTTTTACGAAGTATGAAACGCAACATAAAACAAATTTGAAATACAATATTCGGGCTTCCAGGTCCCTATATTTAAAATCTGATGGCTCTAGGTACCGTCGTTTTTTCACAGTGCGAAGCACATGCAAATTATTCATTATTTAATTTCTTTAAATACAATACACGGCGATACTATTTGGTGGCAACAATTTGAAAAATGATTCAAGCTTTTATAGTGATTCAACTCTGGCTAAAGCTCCTTTGGGCTAAAAATTAAAAAAAAGTAGTTTTTTTTAATTATTCTCTATATACGACTGACAAAACGATATAATAAAATGACGTAATTTATTAAACTCTCTGAAAGCAATTTAGTATT